AAAAAAAAAAAAAAAAAAAAAAGGAGGTGTGGAACGATGAATTTTCAGTCAACCCTCGAGTTCAAGTGGTGTCGAACGAGGCGCTTAGTTATTACTCTACATCCGCCAACATTTTGAGTGCATCTGGGCATCCCTGAGTTCAGATGCATTCATTCATAATGTTGGCGGATGGCGAGTAATAGCTACTACGCCCTTAGCCGTACTGCCCTCGTGCAAGCGTTCTCACAGGTAGCCCCACGTCATCGTCAGCGCTACGTCCTGGCCGAGTAAACATGAATGAACCTGGTTGTTCTTTCGGGCAAAAAACCGCGCTTACTTAGTATACTCTTACTGGGCGTCACACCTCCTTACTAAGGGCCTAGTCACACACCTCTCCATCCGCCAACATTTTGAGTGCATCTGGGCAACCTTGAGTTCAGATGCACTCATAATGTTGGCGGATGTAGTGCAACTAGGCCCTTAGCCGTACGCTTACTGGGCTGGGCGTCATGGATCGGCAGCCATTGTTGCAGTAATTTTTCGGATAAATTGCCATGCCTTCGACTCGTATACGTATGTAGTTCTGAAACAACGTAGCAACGTAACGACGTAGCAACCTTGCATGCAGTGACAGCGTAGCGACGTAGCGACCTTGCATGCAGTGATCGCCACTCCCACGCAGCGCAGGGAGGCGGCTGTGGTAAACTGGGGGTAGGCAGGAGGGGAAGAAGCCAATCGCTGGAGTGGGAGTCCGGTGTTCCGCGCAGTGATTTCAAGACGGGATCTCTCCAGCCTGTGTGCAAGCCATTGTGAACACCGATTAACAGGATGGCCATGGCGTTGACGAGCGCAGGTAGCCTCCATTCAATTGCACCACCCGGGCTGATTGCATGTGAGCGGCGAGATGCAGAATCTGGTGCCCGCGCAAGGAGAGTGCGGACATGGTTGCTATCCCGGAGTGGCGGAGGAGCGTCGACTCGAGCAGCTCCTTCGCTCTCTGAACCTGACAGCAGTCGGGCAGAGCGGCATCTAAGCGCTGCTCGCAGCGGTGTCCCGCTGAAGGTGGGACTCGGTTCCACGAGACCAAGCAAGGTGGGACCTGGTTCCTCGAGGGCGAGCAGGAAGTCCCGTTCAAGACCATTTTGGCTGGCGGCAGCGAGATCTGAAGGTGATGAGGGCCGGAGAACGTCTGGCGGTAGCGAGGAAGTGGACGGCAGCAACCCGTTGCGCTTCGTACGGTGGTTTAGATCGAAATTGAGCACGTTCTTTCCCTCCGGAAAGGGACAGAGAGAGGCGAAGTCGGGGGAGAAGGGGAACTACAACGTCTACTACACTGTGAAAGATGGTGATACGCTGGAAGGTATCGCGGACAAGTTCGACGTCCCCCGCCATTTTCTGATTGAAGTCAACGATATTCCGGGCAGCAACAAGTTGAGTGCGGGTCAGGTTTTGTGGATTCCGCATGTGTACGAAGTGAAGAGGGGCGACACGCTGGACAGCATTGCGGAGAAGTTCGGTGTGCCCAAGTCGAGGCTGCGGGAGGTCAATGGTATTCAGGACGCTGATTCGATATCTAGCGAGGACGCATTGATCATCCCGCCTACGGAAGTTGAGAGCAGGGTGGGAGGGAAAGGTCATGAAGGAGAGCGCCAGGGTGTTCACACTGTGAAGGAAGGATCGACGTCCGGCACGGCAGGGACGACGGGCAGCGCAGGGCAAGGAGGAGGAGCAACGACGGGGACGGCTGGTAGGAGCGGTACTTCCTGGGGCCAAGGCGGAGGATCAACGTCGGGGGGGGCGGGTGGCACATCTGCAGGGCAAGGAGGAGCTGGGCGCACGAGTGGCGCACCCGCCGGGCAAGGAGGAGGATCAACGACGGGGACGAGTGGTAGTAGGGGTACCACAGGGCAAGGCGGAACATCATCATCTGATGTGGCGGGTGGCTCATCTACAGGGCGAGGAGGAGGGTCAACGACGGGGACGTCGGGGACGGGTGGTAGGAGCGGTGCCACAGGGCAAGGCGGAGGATCAGCATCATCGACGACGGGGACATCGGGTGGGTCGGCAACCCGCGGAGGGCAGGGGGACGCAGGGCAAGGACGTGGACAGGGCACTGAGGGCAGGGGATCCGCTGGCCAGTAAAGCGGGGAGGAAGTGGTAACTCGGGGCAGGGGAGCCATTGGAAAGAGGAGGGTTAAGAGGGTTAAGAGGGTTAAAGAGGGTTAAGAGGTTCGTCTTAGTTCACGAGACGCAGTGGAACTGCTTCATGAATCATGGCAATGCGGGGACGCCTATCGAGGAGGAAAAGGACTGGAAAAGATGTCGTTAAACTTCCTCCTTCCGCCATTGAGGGTATGGACATCGGAAGTGGGACGCAAAGGGAGGTGGGTGCTGCTGAGGGTTAGGACGAGGGGTGGAGGATGTTCAGGGTGTGGATGGGGGAGGATCTTCAGGGTGTGGCTGGGTGGACCTCGCGGCTTCCTCGGAGTGAGCTTTTGAAGGCGCCTTTCGCTCTATTATGAGGTGAGAAGAGAATTTGACTGATTCACAAGAAGTGCACTCGCGATGGCACTGAAGGTACTACATCTGCTTGGGTGTCTTGCGTCCGGTCCTCGTCAAACGGATGTGCTCGAGGTAGTGTTAATAGTAGTAGCATGGTTTCGATGAAGGCGAGGAGGTGGAGGCCGAAGGAGAGCGTCCTCAGAGAGACGTCGCTGCACTGCCTACGGTCACAAAGACTTACATCATAGGAAACCCAATGGAGGGGAGAGTCGCTACAGGGTCGCGCACCCAGAGCTACAAGCGAGTTGGTTGGTTGACGGTTGGTTTTTGTTGTTGTTGACACTCAGTCGTCGTTAGCTTTGTTCTTTCCTGTTTTGTCCTGATTTTCGAGGCGAAGTTCTTTTATCTATAGTATAGGAATGTCTACAGTCAAGAAGGTGTACGTTAGAGACAGGAGTCCGAGGGAGGGATTATTCAATACCACAGGAGGCAGAGCCAGAGTGTCGATGGAGTTGGGTGACGGTCGGTCCTTGTTGCTGTCGTTGTTGTTGTCGTTGTTTTCATGCTTTTTTGTTTTGTCCTGTTTGGTTCGGATTTGACTGTTACCTTCACAAAGTGAAAACCCCCTCAGAATGTGAAAACCTACCTTCACAAACTTAGTTTAACTTGGTTTACAACCATCAGAGGTGTTTGAGGGAGGGAAGAGTCATTGAAGGGTTGCGCAGCCAGGGTTGCGCTGCAAGGGGGGTCGGTTGAGGGTTGGCTCGTATAGTGTTTTTTTTGCTCCCGTTCGGTCCCGACTTCGAGGGTAGGGAAAGAGGTTGGATGTTGATGTGCCGTTCGCTGATGGTCTAATTCCTCTCTCCACAAAGTGCCGCGTATCGCGATAGTATCGCGATATGTGACCATGCCTTTTAGCTTGTATACGTAGGATAGTACCACGGTATCTGACCGGCCTTACAGCTTGTATGCATTTGTGATTAGCGTGCGGTGTGGAAGGGAATGACGTTAGTCTATATTGTGGGAGTAAGAGATCTTGACAGTGGTATATCGTCGGGTTGTATGTCTTTTTTTTTTGCATGTCATTTTCCCGCCGAGGACAAGAAAAAAAAGAAAGAGGGGAAACGAGAACTGTCGGGGGGAGAAAATATCAAATGGACGGCGTGAAGGGGTAGTAGTAAGTAACCTGTGAGGGCATACTGATGGTAGCGCTTTCGTAAATGCATCTGACTGCAATTACGGCCGGAGCAGGATGAATCTGACTGCAAGTACGGCCACAGCTTAGTAGAAAAATCGCAGTGGAGTATGCCCTTGATCGCTTTAGATTTTTTTATTTTTTAAGTTTTAGAAAAATATAGAAACGCTGCCGGCAAGTCGGCTTCCTACTTGTTAATCGTGAGGGGAAAAAAAAAGAAAATAGAAACGCCACCCGCAAGTCGACTTGCTGATTCCACATCCTCAATCAGTCTCTTCCGATCTATTTTTAGCTTTTGAATGGTCAGATCGTCCACAACGCGGTACCCCTGAATTGTTTCGGCGTGCTTTCCCTTTCAGGATCTTTCTTGGCGTTATCGGGCTGTTTTTTTTTTTTTTTTTTTTTTTTTTTTTTTCTCTGTTTCTACTGTTTTTGGTAAAAAACATGCATTGTATATACTGGCCGGTTTTTTTTTTTTTTTTTTTTTTTTTTTTTTTTTTAACAAGCCTTGTTGATATTTCATTACAAACAGTTATGCAGTCGGGGCCGGGGTCCCCACAATTCCCACCCGGAGTATCGTGCTGGTTTCCACTTTCCAATCCTTTTATGTTTTTAGTTCCGATATGTAGTTCTAGATTTCTCTTGAACTATGGGCTCATCCACAACGTGGCACCGCCAAGATGTTTGGGCTTGTTTTCACTTTCAGGATCCTGTTTGGGCGTGTTTTCACTTTCAGGATCTTGCTTGGCGGTATCGGCTTGGCAACGCTTGTTTTGACTTGCAGTATCTTTCTTATCGTAATGGAAAGAGTCGTTACCTGGCACACACACGTGTGCTCAGGAGGTGTTGTCGTTCTTTGAATTCTTTTTTTTTTTTTTTTTTTTTTTTCTGTGTTAAGTCTTTGAATTTTCGTCTGCGTTCATTTGGCTACGAGACAGTGAATTGAATTTCGGTGATAGTGGTCGGGAGGTGCGCAAGAGTGGAGACGACGTTTGGGAGGTGGTGGTTGGGAGGTGGGCGACAGTGGAATGCAATTTGTCGTATAAAGTCGATTCATATTTGGGATTGTATGCAGGGTCGAGTTCAATTCTGTTGAGGCCGATGTATTGGTGTACCGTGGTCGCACTGGTCGGGATGGGGCATGCAAGTGGAACTCAATTTGTTGTTTACATTTCGCGAAGGGCTGAGTTGGCTAAATGGAATCTTTTGACCAAAAGAGGCATTGTATTCTTTTTATTTCGAATTTTGCGGGAGGATGGTAATAAATTACTAATAATCGCTGACTGAAGCAGAGGCACTGTGGAATTTCATGTGGTTGAAGTCTTGCGTTTTGGTTGTATCGAGTGTGACGCTGTCCTATATGAGACCGACGATGCGTTTTTGGCTGTATTGAGTGTGTGCTGGGTGCGCCAGGCGTTAGTCTCTCTCTCTCTCTCTCTCTCTCTCTCTCTCTCTCTCTCTGTGCTCTCTCTCTCTCTCTCTCTCTCTCTCTCTCTCTCTCTGTGTGTGTGTGTGTGTGTGTGTGTGTGTGTGTGTGTGTCTGTGTACCGAGCGTGACGCTGTCCTATATGCGACCGACGACGCGCTTTTGGTTGTACTGAGTGTCCGCCAGGGGTTAGTCTCTCTCTCTCTCTCTCGCTCTCTGTCTGTGTGTGCGTGTGTGTGTGTGTGTGTGTGTGTCTGTGTGGACTCTCTCGTTCTCTCTCTCACAGTGTTATGTTCGACAGGCGGTCTTTTGGTGTGCGCCAGGTTTTTTGTCTGATTCTCTTCTCTCTCTCTCTCTCTCTCTCTCTCTCTCTCTCTCTCTCTCTCTCTCCCCCCTCCCCCCCCGCCCACCGAATGAATGTTGAGTTTGTCACAGTCAGGCAGCGCATCTCACGACCTGCGGCCCAGGCATTTGCATTGAACTTCATTATGTTTGGTAGCTTTGCCTGGGGCGGACTCTGACAGCTCCTCTTCAAAGCATGAATGTGATCTTTCGCTGGCCTTTTGTATAAACGTGATTTTATTGTCCTTTCTGAGACCTGATTTTAGTGGCCTTTTTATTCAAAGGGCTCAGCAACAACGGTCTTTTCACCCTGTAATCACTCACGTGTGTTATTGCAGTGGCACTTCCTCTTGGCGCAAGGCCTCTGATTTGACACATGTGGGGTCCTGCTTCTACGTTAATGCGGCCTAGGCCGCTGTCGGGCTTGGGGCCCTTAGACAGGTTAACAAGGCATAACAGACGGGTATTGCATTCTTGCTGTCCCAATTTTCATGTTTCATTGCACAAATACATTAGCTTTCTTTTAACTCGCGTTTACATGCAACAATAATGTAACGAGCAATAGATAGTAGTTTTTTTTTCCTAAACCATCTAGCTTCCGACGGAGGTTGAGACTTGAATGTTACCTTGTACTGCTTCTGCGGTCTTCCTCTGCCACCTGTAGAGAAGTAGCCATGTTCTAGAATCTTTTTTAACTTCATAGCTTCCGTTCATGGAGGGTGGGAAAACATATGGTCTGTTAGGATACTCGTCTCCACTTACGGCAAAAGTTTAGACGCGTGAAAGATAAGATAGGTCTTAAGGCGTGGGGGTACATCAATTCCGTAGGAAGGCCCAACGGCATTCCCAATCACTTTGACAACTTCCCAGGATCCATAATAAACAAACAATAGTTTTTTAGACATATTCTGTTCAAAGGAAAACTCTTTAGACTTCACCCATACCAGATCACCTTCTTGAAGTTGGGATGACAATTGATGGTTGTTGGCCTGCTCAATCATTTGCAGTTGGGCTTTCAATATATTTCTTACTCTGTTTTTGACTTCTGCATGTAAAATTGCAACTTCATGAGTTCTTGGGGTAGCCTTTGGATCTGGTCGTGAGTCAGAGCATTGATGGGACGACGAGGCTTCCAACCTTTGTGAAGTGCATTTGGTGTTCTCCCCGTAACAATATGTATACTGTTATTATATGCAAAGTTGTTGACATAGATGATTCCTTTGTTCAGTTTGGTCATTCATTCCAAGGTGTATACCCGACATCATGGTCAATCTAGTCTCATAGACTTCCTCCATCTTTGTCATTGAAGTCAAGTGAACCGAAGAGACTGTTCAGAGACGATAGTCTTTGGGAATCCATATTCTGAAACCCATCACACCTGAAACTTTTGGATGACTAGTTCAGTCTTAGCTTTGTCCATCAAAGGAATGAACATAACATACTTTGAGAATCGATCTGCAATCACCATTACTTGACTATTATCGTTTCGGCTCTTAGTGAGGCTCACGAAGTCAATGGAAATAGACTCATCTGACTTACTTTGAATAGGTAGTGGTTTCAATAGTCCCAATGGATTTCTATGCGACGGCTTATTCCTCTAGAAAACAAGACAAGTTTGCACATATGCAGTGTATCCTCCCTCATTCCTTCTCATTTAAAGCGTTTCCTTACATGTACAAAGGTCTTTTTAAAATCGAAGTGTCCCTCAACATCTTGACATTCCACACTAATGATACTCTTAATTGGCTCCTTGTATGGAATCAAAAGTCGTTCTTCGGTCTTATTAATAAAGAAAAGTAAATTATCAGTCATTCTATACTCAGGAAAGTTGTAGATTTCTCTGTAGGGTTCCAATAACAAGACTTCATATCGATGATATCAAGTCATCGACATAACCCTTATGAATCGGTTATTTCTGTTCATTCTCAATATCGAGGTAGGGGACAATTGCTCCAAAGCGTCTGCATACCTCAATAAAGCATTGACAACCACATTAGACTTTCCTTTAATCGTTTCCAGTTCAAAGTCTAATATGTTTATGAACGTGGATCATCTGACTAATTTGTCAGAGAGTAAAGGTTGGGTTTTGAGCCACTTCAAGGTAGAGTGGTCAGAATAGACAGTGAAGTGTCTCCCTAATAAGTAGTGTTTCCAAGTGTCCAGTGGAGCGACTAAGACATACAATTCTCTTTCGTAAGTGTAGTTAGCCACTTTGTCTGAGGGCAGTCGTTTTGGCATAAATTCTATTGATCTATATCGCTTACTTAGATTACTCTCATCTTGCTGAAGTACAATACCAATCCCATATTGGCATGCATCAGTGGTGACAATGAAAGGGACAGAAGGATCAACAATCTTTAGGAAAGGGTAGTGAGTTAGTACATGTTTTAATTTTTCAAACAAGGACTGACATTCTTTGTCCCACAACCAAGACTTTTTCTTCTTCAGTAGTCTTCTTGTAGTATTTGCCAATTTATTTACAGAATCATATCGCAAGACATGTTATTCTCGATTAAGAAAGACGGTTCATGCAATATTTGTTTGCCTTCCTTAGTACGAAAATAACATTTTACATGATCGACATATTGAAAAATTGTGATCATGCTCTTATCTTCCCATATAGACGTGATAGGTCATGGCAAGTCCTTTACCTACATTTCTAGATGCAGTTTACAAATTGCCTTCGTTGAGATGTAGGACTGCGTTGATCCTGGATCTAACAACGCATTTACTGGTGTATGTGCAACTTCAATGTTTACGATCGTCAACTCACCCTTAGTCTCCATTTTCTTAGCCCACAAACTTTTTAAAGCTATGATTTATTTTCCAAGCTCGTTAAGGGAATAGTCTAAAGAGACAAAACATAAGACAGTGTCAGGGTGTTCCTAATGACGGGCCCAAGAAGATTCATCCTCTATATGAGTCGAGGGGTTGAAAGGGGTGATTGACGCCTTACCTTCAACGCCTTAACTAAATCCGTCAACACAGTAGGAAAACAAGCAACTCCTACTGGCTGCTCCCTTTTGGGTTCCAAATGAGTGGACACCATGCTATGATGTGGCCTGCATTGCCACACTTAAGACACTGCCTATTGTTTATTTGGTTTTGCCACTCTTCTCTACGCAGTCCAATCTTTTTCCAAGGCTTGCGGACTGCAATGTTGGGGTGCTTAGAAAAGGATCGTGGTCTCTTATTCTTACTCCAAGAACTGGTACCTACCTTGTTGGTCACCGCATCAGTAACGCCACTCTTTCCTTACGCACTGTTGTCACCTACTCCTCCCTCGGCCTCTTTAAGGGGTAGCTACTCCATCGCGTTATCGTAAAAAACGACGAGCATATGGTCCTATAACTTTT